GGTGAATTGTAAAGTGTTTTTGTATCTTTCATTTCATTTCAGAAAATTCTCTCAAATATAATTTTCTTTCTAATAAATCACTACTAAATTGTTCTGTAAGTTAGGACTTTCACAACTGCAAACAACTCTAAAAGACTTAAACTGGAAGTCAAGATTTCATGAGACTGAGAGCTAACTGCTTTGTGTTTATAATTACAATTATCTCTTAGAAAAGTAGTCGCTGTAAGCTAATAGAATTAGATGTAAAGTCCAAAATAACAAATCTCTGGGCAGTATGGTGGTGTTTGCATTGGAGAAAAAAACCTGACAACAGAGGTGGAACATTCTGACTCAGTATAACAACGAGGAATTACAATGACCAACAGACAAGATCTGATATCCGTTTCAAAAGTGGTGGTCCCCGTACCGCAGTGACATGGTGGATAGCGCAATGGGAACTAGGTTCGAGTCTGAGTGAGAAAAACACCCTTCACTGAAACGTAGGTACATTCAGGTGACAAAACCCGAAGTAGGACGAAAGGAGCGCTCTGGATTCCACGGCTAGCCGATAAAGAGATTACCAGATAATGAATATCCGAGTAGTATCTAGGCTCCTGCATAACAACGCATCTGAGAGCAGAGATGGAGCAATTTTATCCAATAAAGCAACGGATAACCACAGGTACCAATAAATAAAAAGCTGAAACCTTTTGGAAATTGATTCAGTATTTTAAACGTTAATACACTCACATGGCTACCTTTATTCGTGGACGTATTTCAATGAAAAGGTCAGTGATGTGCATTTCTGATTAGGCTCAGGTTACAATGACGCATTATCAAGTGGGCTTTTTTGACTGATGCTAATGTATAATACCAGTCATATATATATATATATATATATATATATATATATATATATATATATACATTTATCAGACTTCCAAAAATCCACTTCCTATACGCATATTACTAAATTATACGGGTTTTTTTCGTTCATTAATTTTCTGAGAAATTCTATTAAAAATTCCAATATATTCAGTCAAAGCAAATGAAATGAATACATTGTTTTGATTCATGTTTTTTTAAAGCCACCTAATAATCCAAAGAAAGATGATTCCTGGGATGAACAATGGAAAAAAAACCTTGAAAGAGAATGTTGGGAGATGAATGAAGAAAAAAAAGTGATCAAGGCAACATTGATTATTTTGTTTCTGTCTAATCCGATGTGTTTTTTATACGAAAAGAAAACGACCAAATTAATAGATTAATTTATTTGATATATAGTCAAGAAATACGTGTAACTGTACATGCATACACATGCAGGTTAATCCATCAACTAACACTGAGGAATGCATCCAGATTTTGTTGATAAGATTTGGGGAATACAGTTATGATTATTATGATCATAATTATTACCATTACCACTCCCATTCTTATCAGTATATTTTCATATTTATACTTTTTAAAAGAAAAGAAATAACAAATATCATTTATATGTAGTTTGGATTTTGTTATACAGTTTTATAGTCAATCACGCAATATGAAAGAAGTGCAGAAGTGCGTTCGAGAGACGAAAGGAGAGAAGTGAAGATGGTCTGTGTGTAGTATTGGAAAGTTGATAAGACGATGAAAAAGAAATAACCTACTAAATATTAAAATATTATCAATGATAATAATAATAATCAGAATGATGATTAACTGTATATATTTGATATGTCTGCTTGTATGTCAGGTCGTATGTATATGTGCATCCGTGTGTCTGTCTATGAGACTGTACGCTCTGTGAAATGAGATTGGCATTCACTTATCATGTTTTCAGCGAGAAAATGAAATGAAAATTAAGATTTCTAGACTAGCTTTCAATAGCCAGAGATGTAGATAGCTTAAGTCAACGAAAATAAAATATGATTTTTTCTAATCTAGCCTCTTCCTGAATGCTTTACATAGAAACAATGAAACAAACGAATAAGTTGTTTCAACAAGTTGTACTAGTAAGCGGGTTTTACATTCTTTAGAGCGTATATGTGAAAAAACAGCAGAATATTAAACAGAATAAGATCTTAATCAGAAATTAAAATACGGTTGAGTATTACTTGAGTAAGTTGTGGCTAGCAGTAGAACCCATGAAGCGCGTTTCTTCAACAGCTACAACAGCTGGAGTACTGTAATAAATTCGCATGCGTCACAAGAAAAATTACTCTAGCACTGACATTTCACGCTTCTTCATGCTGATTTATTTAGTGAACTGAAGTTTTAATGAATCATCAGCGTTTAAACGTCAAACTAGATACCATCATCACGATCGATATAACTTCAAAATAGCGATCCAAGCAAAATTGAAGCAGAAATTCGACCACAACTTTACTCCCAAAAAAACAGTGCTGATAAATTCCAAGTCAAGCTATACTAAGTTATGATATTTCATACTGAGTGACCAAAAGTGATACCGTCGTTGGTGGTTACACCCCTACATCAATAAATTAGTACAAAAGTCAAATGATGTACACCATCCAGTGTACATTCAGTGAAAACCATTGGCCATATTTATTCCACGTAAAAATTAATTTTATTTTTGAGTTGACTTATAATCTGAGCATTCTTCACCACCACCCCACCAGATAAAATAACTAATTACATTGTTGCCTTTATACCCATCGAACAAGAATGAGCTGTTGTGATTCGGTGGTCGGCTGGGTTACGCTATGGCATTTGGAGATATTGGTCTTAGATTCGAGCCCTAGTCGGAGCAACATCGCTCGCTGGTAGTCAAGTACACTCAGCTGAAGAGTCCCAAATAGGATGGAACGGGTGTCCAAGATTCCATAGCTAACCACTATCCTTCATTGTCATAAAATAACCAATTCTCAAAAATCAAAACTTTCATTTGTTGTTAAAACGATTGTTCTGCGGAAAAGTAGTTTATTTTGATGTTCACTTCAGAACTTTTTTACTACCTATGTATCTACTACATTATAAATGGTCTGTTACATCAATACATGAAATATTCTGAAAAAGCATATATGGCGTATTACGTTTACCGATAATGTTGGAGAGACTTATTTTTGATAAACACTATTTAATTGTAAAAACAAAATAGTTTTCAACAGTTCACTGTATCTATCAAGATTTTCTCAGCAGAAATGATTGAGTTACATGGCTACAATTTAAACTTCGCACCAAAAAATGAAGTTAATTGGACCAGACAATATAAAAATGTAACGTATGTTTTTATTCAGTCTGAAGCTTGATGAAATCCGTCTAGTTTTGTTGCCGTTAGGAAGCCTAAAATAGCGCTTTCAAATGCATATTCATATTCAACAATCTGATAACTAATGTCTGATTACAGAGATATTATATCTTAGCAAGTGATGTCTAACAAATTATGCTGTACAAAATGCGACGAATATTTGTAGCTTGGAGTGTGGATGTTCACAATGATTTGTTTTCTAAGCTTCTTGTAAATCAATGATGCATTGACGACGATGATGTCCAAAATATGACATCGAAACGTTTCCCAGTTAAAATTCTAGCTCAGACAACAGCTCACAGTTAACCAAATTGTGCTGTTAAGGTGTATGTTTTAGAGATATTTTAAATAACCAAAGAGTCGAATTGGCCAGAAATTCTACTACCCGCATACATAGTCATTATTTTACTAGGCAAGTGTAGAGTTAATCTTGACTATTTTCTTCTGGTACTTATTGAAGTTTGTTTTACCATGAATGTAACAGAAGCCTCTCGTCAGTTTGATAAGTGGTTGTAAACTTTTGAAAAATTGATTGTATTCTGAAAAACTTTATATCCATTCTGCATTCTACATATCTGCATTAACAAAAATTACTGCACATCAAATTGCACAACCCATTTCCCCAGGTAAACAAAAATAAACTGTGGAACTGAATTATAGAAAACTTTATTGACCAACTATGAAAAAGCTGAAAATCATTAAAATATGCATTCGCTCTTTGAGTAGAAGGTTACAATTTTTAACTCAAACCCACGCACGTAGATTTAGTCAGTGATTATCATTTAAATACTCAAACGATTGCCAAGCAGCAATATTTCCATGTTTTTTAGTAAAATCAATTATTGCAATTTGGTTCGTTATGTCTAGCAGAGGAATCCAAGACGCGCATTTCGTCCTATTTGGGACTCGAGAGCTGGATGCACCTGCACCCCAGTGAGTGACATTGTTCCCACTGAAACTGGACGCTTAAACCAGTCACCCCAAACGCCACAGCGTTATCCAACAGACCATTGAATCACTGTGGACACTCCTTTTTTGACGGGCATAGCTTCTTTTCATTCATTATTTGCAATTTCCCGTCGTTGGTTTGACCGAAATGATCGACTTTTATTGGTATATGGGCTGCTGCGCAAATGCCAATAGAGATCGGTCAATTCGGTTCAAGTAACGATGAAAAATTATAATTAATAATATGAAAACATCTTCTTGTTTGAAAAATGCTCATTTTTCATCGATAGAATGATTATTTACTAGTTGTTTTATTCTGATCAACTATAACTGTGACCTGTACCGCAAGTAGACAACAATCTTAAGACCAGTGAGATTTTTAGTTTCTTAAATCAATAGTATTCAAACAATATGTCAGGAAATTTCAGCCGGAAACATTCATAGCTCCCATTTTAATCAAATTCAGAAATCAGTCTTAATGAGCAAGTTATCGTTTCATTTATTCGGAGTAATACTAACTACTGACACTTTTGGATTTCAGAATACTGACGCTGTAACGAAGCTGATTTCTTACTATCATGATTATCACTGATAGGTCATGAAAACTTTTGCACCGATTAATGAAGTTCGAACTAATCAACAAACAAAGAGTCCTAATCTCATACTGTACTCACTGCTCAAAACATCGAGGTTGCAAATTAGTAGTTCAGTAAATAACACTCCAGTGATTGAAGCAGTGAGTATTTAGTTAGGATTTCAGTGAAAAAAACCCTTATTTATCTCAATTATTTAAACGTAAGATTATAAAACAACTAAGTTGACTCACTTTAAATCGAAACTGTCTAGGTCCATTATCATAATCCAGTGAATGACTCACTATAATCCGTCCTGTATTAACATCAATCTTAAAATAATTTTGTGCTATATTACGATCACATGGACAAAATCCATAAATTAATTTTGAATGTAATCCATCGTCTTGATCTGATGCATTCAGTTGTAATACAAAACTGCCTACAGGTAATGTTTCACGTAAATTACCATTTAATGGTCGATAAATCACATAATTCATCTCAGGATTGTTTGAATTTAATTGATTATTCACATCATATTGATTTAAAGGATTATGAAATTGTGGGATATGATCATTTACATCAATTAGGGTTATTAATAATGGTATACTTGTAGTTTTAGGTGGACTGCCCAAATCACTTGCCACCAACGTTAAATTATAAACACCACCTTGTCCAGCAAAATCTTTAGTCTCTCTATCTAACGGTAGTACAGGCCATATTTGTAGTGATGTATCATAGGTATTTGTCAACTGGTTTAAATTACTATTGGTATTATAAAAATCCATGGACAAATCAGCTTTACGATGTATTAGTGAATCAGACCCTCCTTGAAGATTATATTGATTATTGTCATTACTACTTTTGCTATTTTTGTTGCCATTATCTGATAACCGGAAATAATCTGCACCTGGTCCTACTAATCGATAAACAATTGTACCATTTGAACCTAAATCTGGATCATAAGCGCGATCTATTGACTTAGCATTCCTCATTGCATCATTCTCATTAATGGGTCGTAGAATTGTTTGAATTGTATTCCATCGATTTGTAGTTGGTGATGAGGGTGTTTCTACAAAGTTTACATGTAATAGATTGATTTCATGCCACCTTGGTGCATTATCATTTATGTCATGCACTACTAAGTTTAGTAATATCCTTTTCGTTTTGACTAATGCAGCTAGGTGTTTGTCATCAGCTCCAGTACCCCTATGCGGCTGTGGCTTAACGGTCATTAGTATATTCAGCGGTTGTATACATTCGTTAGGCAGCGAATTCGAGAAATCATTCATAAAATTTCCATTTATCATATTAGGATCTCTTTGTGTTGTAAGTGTGTTAGCACTGTTACTACTGATGGTGTTCACAGAAGCATCAACAGCAGCAGTATTATCCCATGATGGACATAAAGTCTCTCGATCAATTCGTCCACTAATAATCAACTGACCTGAATGCGAGTCTAATGTGAATAAATTTGAAAATGTACCACTACTGATTAACTGAAATGTTGTTATTGCTGTTGTCGGACTAGTTAAACCTTGTATTTGTTCACGAGATAATAACTGTTCTAAATATTCAGCGACTCCAGGTACTATACTTCCAACTGGACTTTCTTCTGTAATATCTACACGCAGTGGAATATCAGGAATACTCTGTACAATTGAGCTGTGTGAAATATACAATGAAATAATTGTGAGAATAAAAACTTTGTTCATTTTGTTATTGACGTATATATTTATTTGTTTTATGAAGTCAAATAAGTTTTACTTTTGAAGAAATATTCATTACAATTACATTTTTGTACATTTTACACCACTGACACTACTGGCAACATTGAATATCTAAAAATTAACACCTATTTCTGTCTTAATTAAGTTTCGTACACAGTTACCTTAATGACCTGGAATTTAATTGGTTGTTAAATTGTTCAAAGAATGATTCACTATTTCATTTTTCTGATTGGTTAAAATAAAACTACAATTTTATAAATTCACATGATTGCTGTAGGCATGTATTTCATGCATAAAAACTGGATGAATCTATCGTGGGGATGCTAATGGGCATAGTAACTACGGCGAATTCGTCACAAATTAATGCTGGAGAAAAAAGTATGAAGTACAGGACGAAACTGATTCTCCTTAATAAATCAAATACTGAAAATAATGGTAAAACCCATAAATCGAGTTTGTTGCCATCCCAATGGACACAGTGTTTCCACTAGATGAAAATGAAATATTACTATCAAAGAAAAGAATAATGATAGGCAGAACACCTAACATAGCTAATGAAACGGTGTGTTATTTTCATATAAGATTGCGAGAGGGACCAAAACACTAGTAACCTGGTATGAAATTGATTATCAATTGCCTAGGGGTAAAAAAGAAAAGTAAATTCACGGTATAGAATTTTAAAGATTCGACTAAGGGTTTTTGGCAGTAACATGACCTGGTGCTCAGGCTTTTGATTCAAATTTCAATACTCACTCACTTTTGCATTGATGTGTTTACCATGACTCAGTACCACTTCAGTCATCACATCTTGTATGACTCAACAGTGGACATGATTTTTCTCATTATTATTATTGCTTGAGGTTTGGTGTAACTTAAAGGTCGCCCTAGCAACCATCGAAATAACCAATCGGATGACTTTAGAGGCCACCCTAGCAACAACTGACATAACTAATAAGACTTATCTATTTTAATGAAAACCTGCCCTTCCAGACAAAATGGAGGGACCTAATTGGTTATTTCGATCGTTACTAGGGTGGCCTTTAAAGTCGCCCTAGCCAATTAGGCTTCTCTATTTCAGTTGGAAATTCGGATTTTCACAAAATATAGCAGTTTGATTGGTTATTTCAGTTGTTGCTAGAGGGGCCCTGAAAATTACTCGAAAATCTCCACTTAAGCATCGATGTCACAGTTGTGTATGCATAATTACAATCCATAAACGATACTAAAAATTATTACCCTTCTGGATGATGAGGGGCATAACCGATAAATCCTCCCTAAATCTCACTGGCGAAACTAAACAGCTTAAATACCAGAAGTAGTATAAAATCCAAGCATCAATGTAGTATGTTATTCATAAGATTTTATCACTAAGCCGGCATAATTTGTTAGGCGCACATATCACACCTAAATGACTGGTAAATGGTGAACATTATTCACCTTATTCAAATCACCGAGTGGCTTTAACGGTTACCCTGGCAACAGATGCGATAACCAATTAGGCTTCTCGATTTTATAAAAGACTACCTTTCTAGCCGAAATAACGAAACCAAACTGGTTATTATTACAGCAGTTGCCAGGATGACCTTTAAAATCGCCTCGACTTTAAAGGCGGTTTAGCAACTATCAAAATAACCAACTAGATTTCTGCATTTTGACTAGAAAAGCAGATTTTCATAAAATAGAGAAGTCTAAGTGGTTATTTCAGTTTTTGCTAAGGTGGCCTTTAAAGTCACCCACTTTAAGGGCCACCTTAGCAACTGTTCAGATAACCAATTGGGTTTCTACATTTAATGAAAACTACTCTTCCAGACGGAATATCTAAACCTGATTCGTCATTTCAGCAGTTTCCAGGACCTCCTTTAGTAGTAGAATAAAGCTAGATAGTGATTTTTCTTGTTGAGATAGTGAGTTCGCCTTATTACGCAACGCGCTTTAATCAGGTCAGTAAAAACTACTATAAATTTCTTCGCTTGTCGAAGTGAAGGCTGACTATCACTAATTTCTGTCTAAATGGTTAAAAAGGATATCAGACAGCATACTAACTAGTCCCTGAGTAGTATTAGATGTAGCTTTTAAGTGGTGAGTACAGATAGAAGCCTATTGATCAAGTTGGAAATGTGCTCACAGAGCTAAGTGACATGACACTACAGAACAGTATGTTTTGTGCGAAACGTTAGTCGAATGAAATTTCCTAACGTAAGTTTTGTAATTGTTGGAATTATCAGCTAACTTTGTCTGAAAAAGTCTCTAAACCCATGTATCCCCTCAAAGCTGGAGTTAGCTACTTTATTGTTAAGCTGTTCAATCTACAAGTGATCCCATTAGGACTGATTAATGTCCATGAACTTTTCAGTAATGGTGGAGTCTATGACTTAACACTAATTAAAACAAGTTTGATGCTTGAGAGAACTTGTGCTTCCTTAGTGTTACAGATGCACTTTCTGATGAGTGCTAACAAGCACAAAATATGGATTTAGCGAGAAGCCATTGTGCTTGTCTCCTGTCAGACAGTATTATAACTTTGGAAGACCCTTACATTATTGATGTTATTATATGAGGTGGGAATTCAAAGCTATCGGTCCTGAGCTCAAGTCTTAGGGGAAACAATATCACTTACTGGTGAAGGACAGATACATCCAGCTGGCATGTGTCAAATAGTACAAAACACTCGTCCTGGATTCTACTGCTAGCCACTATCCTTCTTTACCATAAATTTTTAAAATGTCTTCAATTACAGCAAACAGCTTACCATAGATTTACGCGGTCTTGTAGGTAGGAAGTTTAAGCAGAACATTGGAACCATTAAATAATCGTGGTAAAAAGTTTTAGTTTTATTTGTATTCGACCCAAATCATTCTAAAGTGTCAAAGAAAATTACTTAGTTTTTTCCTATATTTCATTTGAGCTGAAATCGTTTACCAGCTCAAGCTATTAGTTATCAACTCCATTAAATGACAAGTAATCTGAAATCAAACTTCATAGGCCTCATTGATCATTGAATCCTACTTTAAAATTTCAAAACGCTTTAGTGTGCGATCTTCAAACACAGACAAAACTGTCCCTATGATTTCAAATGGGTTTGAGTTCCCAATTATTTCCGACATATGTGAATGCTCTACTTAACTAGCCTCCCCAGTGATTTTGCAACGACTGCATTAGTCACAAGAAAAGTTTTACCGGGATCCAGTAGCCACCCAGTAATAAATCTAGAATATTAGTCACTATTAGTAATTATATTCTTGGTCTTAATACAGCAGTATGGAGTCCTCAGTTGAAATTTATCACGGAGTGACATCAGTTGGAGGAACATTAGAAACCTGGAAGTAATGGGCAGATGTTTTGTCCTAGTATAGGACTTCTCAGCAGTACGCACCCATGATCCAACCCTTCCAGGGATCGAACTCAGGACCCTCAGGTTCCGTGACAACTGCGTTACCATTTCACAACTCGGAAGGAATCCAATGGTCCTACTTCTGTCAGTTCACGACATAGTTCGACCCATATCCAATTCCGTCACTGAGCAACTGTTCTCATGTTCGATTTAGTTGACTCCACTGCTTATTTTCAACTTGGCAAAAATCTTCTGTGTACTAAGTACATGAACATAACTTAGAAAGTCAGAGCAAGTTTTAAAAAAGAAAAGGGGATAAAAGTAAAAGGCAAAGATGCATGAAGTCATGAAATTTTATAACTACATATCTAGGAAACTAAATTTTCTAAGGTAATGTAAGATTATCAATTGTATCCTACTGTAAATAAAAGCCACGTTTGAGTTTTTGAATCCCAACGGCTTCAGTGAAGTACAAAAGGCTGTGTTTCATTTGTTTACTAAACATTTTGAACAGCTTCAATAAACTGACATTAAGTTAAGTATCAACGGAAGCTTTAAATGAACTCTTAGCATGAGTTTGAGCTCTGAAAGTTTATATACTAAAGAAGTGCATTTAGTAGAAGCAGGATTTTTGTTGACACTTATGGGAAACGACGATATTCAAAAAGCATTTTGATTATGAAATGTAAATTAGTGTTTTCTATCTAGCCAAGGAAAGTAGAAATGTTGACTGAACCAGTGTTTCATTTGCAAATATTAACCAACTCTCATGTTTAAAGATGATGTAAGGTAAATGCTCTTCGGTTGTCTAAGATTGGTACTGCTTTTCTAGATTAAACTAGAGGTAGACTATCGGCATTACTGTTTCACCAGTGTTGAGTTGGGGTGTAAAAAAACGGAAGAGTGTTTTTAGGTTGAGAACTGGCTTTCACACTGTCCCATTCATCAATAAGACCCTGTGCCTCTATATGGAAATACCTGTTTACGTTTTTCAGTGAACTAAGTAAGCACATCGATAGGATTATATAATCCTGGCTTAACTTTAGTCAACCACTATAAGTGTTATGATTAAATTATTTTGATGTCCGTCGCTCCTGATAACTTTCTAATTCGGCTGTTACTGAACTGGGAAAAGGAAAAGGAGATTCTTTGACGATTTTTTTCCTCACGGAACTCGAACCCGGCACCAATCGCTTCGACCGCAAAACCGTTCTCCACTAGACCGATAGGGCACGTCAAGCACAGCATTCAAACCAGCTACTAGTTGTTCCTTGTTGAAACTTGTAATTTCCTGGTGCTTTACTGGGTCGAACTGCTCAACCTCTGTTAGCAGGTGGAAATTTGGATATTTGCATGCAGTGTGAAGGTTTCAAAATGTTGATTCAAAGTATATAGTTGCTTGCGCTTGGATATCAGAATTAGGAGAAATAATTCTATGTATTTTATCTGTATCGAAGTTTGAACACATGCTCCTACTGTACGGTTACTTATTTATTTCCTCACAGTTTGATCGCAATAAGAACTGGAAGCAACAAGGAACTCTGGCTGATAACGAACCAATCAAGAACCTATCGCCCAACATAAATGCAGAAGGAAGTGTAGATGGATTGGATTGGACATACACTGAGGTCATCTGGGGACATCACGCGTCAGGCGATCACAGGTCCTCGAGTGGAATTCTTAGGGGAAACGACCAGTTAAGCGTCCAAGGCGAGGGGGACATGGAGGAGATGACGTGAGGAAGAAATGAAAGGTTCTGGGCAGTCGTGGAGCCAGAGTGAAAAGACTGCAGAGAATAGAGTACAATGGAGACATACTACTGAATCCCCATGTTCC